TCCATTACACCTGAGCAAATCCCGCTGAACCAGACTGCGTGGATTCTGATTGGCAAAACCATAAAAAACAGGACTGTTTGCAAGAAACTCATCAGGCGAAAGCTGTGACAGCAAAGTACTTCGTTAGATGTATGATCATGTACAGCTAAAGAGCTCCGTCGTCGGCTATAAATAGGGGGGGGTGGACAGACAAAATCATAGCATCCGAAATGCTTCTTATAACTGCACTTCTGTTCTTCTCTCTTCTGGATGTCAGCGCTCAAAGTAAGTGCTACAAATGCTAATTTGTAGTATACATAACACACTGTCGTGATTGTCTGAGCCTGATGGCTGAGGACACTCTAAATATACAACAACACAATTTACAGCGTCGCAGGTAGAATCGTTGACAGAACTCATGAAAGATGACATCGACGATCTCCTTGAAACGAAGATTGGAGACCTGGTTGGTTTTTTTTTCTCAGTGGTTCCGCCTTACGATCAGCTGCGTAGACAGGATCTCTGACCATACACACTCATTTTCTAAAAGTCATATATAGGAATGGAACGGTGAATTGGCGAAAGAAGCGGAGAACGAATTAAAAACGCACTCGAAGACGGATTCAAGAAAAGCTGACCTGAAGCTCGAAGGGACAGCGTTAGTACAAGGGTCCTTGAGGTGTCTTCCTATTTTGTACTACCTAAAATTGTATATGAATATTCAGTGATGTCAAGGATGAAAACAAAGAGCAAGCGCTTCTGGAACTCCTCCTACGCATCCTTGGAGAAAACGAAGACAAAGTTAGTTGAGGTTGATGTATATGTAGCAAAAATGTCGACATGACACAAAGAAAAATACAGGATCCCTTTTTCATAGAACAATATTATACACATTCCGGCGCTGCGGACCTTTTTTGAGCGGTGAACTTAGGTTCTCCCAGATTTTTCGAGTTTTCTGCTATACGATTTTGTAGCCTCAGTTATTGTAGTACCATGAACTTTAAATCGTACGTCAGGCAAGTCTTTGCCCCCTCTGCCAAGGCAACTTTCTTCATATTTGAAATTTATAGTTGAGCCTCGTTAAAGGTGAGTGATTGAGAGGAATTTTCCTACTACTTCATTTATGATTCATCTACATGTAAATGTTTCTGTTCGGTCTACCTCGTTGCTTGAAATATCTTATTTTTGGCCAATCTATTGATACCCACACATGTATTCAGGTTCGCGGTATTTCGCCAGGTTCACAATATGGATGTGGCAGCTTGTACGAAATGGATGAAGACCACTCTACCAGTCAGGTCAAGCTCGCTTGTCTCTTCCGTTGGACGCATCTTGCCTGAATTTTCCGATAAATTTATCCAGCAATTGAAGAACAAAACAACATTGATAAACCTGTTGTTGCCAACGCATTATTGCATAATAAATGCTTGCTTGACGATATACAATATCAGAAAGGGGATACACTCTAGACTTGTTAGGCAGCAGACGGCAAGTGAGTGCGCGCATATTTGAAAGCGAGAGATTACGATAAAGTGTGTGTGCAGCGTGGAAGTACATGCACCAGTGGAAGCAGTAGTCAGGGGCCCAAGGAAACGAAATGTTGCGTTTTTGTGGCCAAAGGTGCGCTAGTTGCAGCGTACAAGGCTTGCCATTCCTTTCTGATCGAAGGACCGCTGCGGCTGGGGACAGGCCCTTTCTGAGCTCCGCCACGGCCAGGAGAGT